CTCCCCTCCGAAAAAAAAAACGCCCAAACGCCCACAGCAGATTAGAAGGAGTAATTCGCAGTGTAACGATGTTGAAAAGACTACTTGGTTTCCAGTTAAGGTAATTTGTCTCCCTCCCCCACCTCTCCCCCTGTCTAGCCCCCTTTATCCTCCCCCTCCTCTGTCCTCGCTTGCGAATGCAGAACGCGTGTAACTGGTTGAAGTCTCATTTTAATCATTTAAAATACAATTTGAACGTGCAAATAAATAAAACAATGCCAAAAAGAGAAATGTCAAAAGTGTGCACATTTGGATTTTCGTAATCCACGGCCTGGCATCTATAGTAAATGCTCTCGAAGGTGGTCCATCATGTTGCTCCGGCCCGCGAGTGTCTTGCCGCACTCGGTGCACTTGAACGGCGTGTCTCCCTTGTGCGTTCGCAGGTGCACTCTCAGGCTTGTACTGCTTGCAAACTTCTCGTGGCACACGGTGCACTCGAAGGGCTTCTCTCGCGTGTGAGTTCGGAGAAGATGTGCCCGCAGATTGTCAGCGTGCGAAAACTTGACGTCACACTCCGTGCACTCGTACTCCTTCTCTCCGGTGTGAACCGTAAAATGTGAGTGGAGATGCGACTGTCTCCTGAATCTCTTGCTGCACACGTTGCACTCGAATGGCTTTTCTCCGGTGTGGATGCGGCGGTGCACAGCTAGATGGCTACGTGAGGAGAACTTCTTGTGGCACACGCCGCACTCGTGAGGCTTCTCTCCCGTGTGAGTGCGAAGATGCACCCGCAGATTGCTGGCGTGCAAACACTTCCTGTCGCACTCCGAGCACTCGAACTTCCTCTCTCCGGTGTGGACCTTAAGATGTGTGCGGAGATGCGACTGTTGCCTGAATCTCTTGCTGCACACGGCGCACTCGAAGGGCTTGTCCCCGGTGTGGGTGCGGAGGTGGACGACTAGATAGTTATGCGTCCCAAACTTCTTGTCGCACTCGGTGCACTCGTAGGGCTTCTCTCCCGTGTGTGTTCGCATATGTGTACGTAAATGGGTGCTTTGCGTAAATTTCCATTTGCAAACACCGCACTCGAAGGGCTTCTCTCCTGTGTGAGTGCGGATGTGCACGCAGAGTTCACCCCTGGTCCGAAATTTTCTGTTGCATTCTGAGCATTCGTGTTTATAGTGCTGTTCTCCCATATGAAGGGGAAGGTGGTCATGCAGATCTGCAGAACGCTTAAACGTCTTGTCGCAGACCGTGCATGCGAAGGGCCTTTCCCCCGTATGAGTTACATGGTGGTTTTTCAGATGTCCTCTTCGCGCGAATTTCCTTTCGCACAAGGTACACGCATATGGCCTCTCTCGGGTGTGCACCTGCTTGAGATGTATGTGGAGACTCGACTGTTGCCTGAACCTCTTACTGCACACGGTGCACTCGAAGGGCTTTTCTCCGGTGTGGGTGCGGAGGTGATTAACTAGACAGCTACTCGTCACAAACTTCTTGTTGCACTTGTTACACTCGAAAGGTTTCTCCCCAGTGTGGGTCCGCAGGTGAGTGCGCAAATTTCCACCCTGTCCAAATTTCTTATTGCACACGCTGCACTCAAAGGGCTTCTCCCCCCCTGTATGGCAGCGTAAGTGGCTCTTCAATTGTGCAATTCCCGCGAATTTCTTTTCGCACACTGTGCACTCGTGTGGCTTCTCTCCCGTGTGGATTCGCTGGTGAATCCGAAGGTAACCTCCACTCGCAAATTTCTTGCCGCACACTGGACACTCGAAGGGCTTCTCTCCCGTGTGGGTCCGATGGTGATACTGAAGGCCATTGCTGTGCGAAAATTTCTTGCCGCACACTGTGCACTCGAAGGGCTTCTCTCCCGTGTGTGTTCGGAGGTGAACGCGCAGGCTGCCACGACACGAGATCGCCTTGCCGCACACTTCACACTCGAAGGCTTGCTCCATCGTGGCGGCTGCCGATGCTCGTTGCCGTGATCCTCGTTGGTCTCCGCTAAAAAGATAAGAGAGAAATGACTACATTGCTCTGTGCTCCGCCATTATGCCGGCCACTGTCCGGCCGCAGACGCCGGCGACGACGCCCCCGCGCGTACGTACCCTGGTAGTAGTACTCCTCGTCCACGTCCGTTGAGGTGGTACGGTGCCCCCGGGGGTCCTGGCGGGCGGCGAGCACGTCGACGGCGAGCAACGCGCCCCGCGGGACAGGTCACACGAGCAGCCGAACTGACTGACGGCGGCTAGCCGACTGGTGCTGGAGGGGAGGCCAGGGCCAGGGGTCGGGCCAGGGGTCGGGCCACCCCCGAGCCCGGCGCCCGCACCACCTGGTGGACACCACCACCCGCTCGGACCGCTCGCACACGCAATCATAGGCATAGAAGCAGACCTACAGCCGCGGCCGTGCTGGGGAGGCCAGTAGTAAGTACCGGTGACTACCAGGCCGAACGCCGTTCGGGTCACTTCGGGCTCCGCTTCGGGCCGGGCCGTGCGTGCTGCTCCGCTAGGCACGCCCCCCGGCCCCCGGCATCACACCTGGCCGAGTGTATGGGAGAGTGGCGCCGGTTCGGCGCGTGCGAGCGTGCGTCTCTCTCTCTCTCTCTCTCTCTCTCTCTCTCTCTCTCTCTCTCTCTCTCTCTCTCTCTCTCGCTCTCGCTCTCTCGCTCGCTCGCTCTCTCGCTCTCGCTCTGCTCTCTGCTGCAGTCGAGCGCAAGATTCGCGTGTGACGTTGGCCGCCTGTGCAGGGGCGGGGGTGGTTTGAATTTGCATACGGTGCCTCATCAGGTGTGGCGCCGGCGGGGCGGGGTGGG